GAACAGTGTGAAAGCAGACTTATCAAATTCACAAGTATGAAAATCACAAGACGGGGAAGAATCTCAAATAAATGAATTAAACTCGTGGTCTTAATTGGTTAAGATGTGAATTAGGCTGCTTTTTTTTTTTTTTTAAATAGTCTTATATCTGCTCTGATACACAGGTTCTAACTTGGAGGCCATCACTACCTGTGAACTTTGTAAGGAAAAACTGCACCTAAATATTGAGAACTTTGACATCAATGAACTCTATCGATCTCATGAAAGGGTAAGTGCATTAAAACAAGATACAAGCACATTGTATTTTTTAGATTGAACCTACTCGTGTGAAATTGTGCATTCTCGAGTGCTTTACGAGTTAGTTGTGATTTTGAATGGATCTCTGAGGAACAAGAATTATTACATGGAATTAAGGCCTGGAATTAAGAATTCAATCCCAATTTTCTCATGCAATTTATCTTCAGACCAATGCAGGGGGGAAAAAAGCAATTTGCACTTTCTCTCTGACACCTACATCTGCGTTGTGACTTGAACTGCATTGTTAGAACACGGTGTTGTGTGAGATGCTAGCGTAATGGTCAAACGCGTTCTTCTAGCGTCTTTTCATGGATAAACACTTCTGTGTGAACTGCCCCTTAGAATCATATCCTACAATCCCATCACTATTGATCAGACTCTGAACATGTTCCTTATTACAGAGCTTTCAGCACATCTAATTGTTGTATGATTCATATTTTGAGTGTAGTTTGTGTGTTGTATTCTTCAGTCAGAGTATGAGTTCATCAGCTGTGGGCTGTACCTGGTGGTGCTCCTGCACCTGTGTGAGCAGAGGTTTTCTGATGTCCTGGGTGCAGTCAATGATGCTGGGGTAAGCCTTCCACGTCTTTCCTGTGTTTTGTTCATTGTATTATCTGCAGGGTTCATACAAGGTGCTTAAAATACTTGAATTTGGCTTTGAAATCTAAGTCCTTGAAAACAAGATATATTTACAAAGAAGTACTTGAAAAGTGCTTGACTTATTTAAATACAAAATATATGAAATACATTTTTTTTTTTTATTCTCGGAAAAAACGCATACAACCGTTTCATGCAAAATGAACACTGCAGCCCGTCTAATAAACCCCCATCAGACCTTTTATCGATAAATATGCCAATATTATAATATGCAATGTCATTTATATTTCGTTCATTCATTTCGTTCATTGAATGAACCAAATGACACGAAAAAAGATTCGTTCATTTTGATAAACGAGTTCGAACAGGAGAATCACAAACACGCATCACAGAACAGAGCAAGGCGACCATTTGAGCTTATATCAAGCTCGTTTCGCTTGATAAAGACCATTATTCATCGTCTGGAATCGTTTAAAGCCCTTTGAACAATTTGCTGTTAGCACTGAAACCGTCTTTTGGACCTTGAACCGTTTGGTTACCAGTAAAGTGCATTATATGGAGAAAAATCCTGGAATGTTTTCATCAAAAACCTTAATTTCTTTTCGACTGAAGAAAAAAAGACATGGGGGTGAGTAAATTATCAGCAAAAGTTTTTTTTTTTTTAAGTCAAATACTCTTTTAAAGTCCTAGAAATTCTTTTTACAGTATCTGTACGAACCCTGTATCTGTTATATACAATACTTTGACTCCTGTGATGCATCAAACAATATAAGTGTGTTCATTGCAAGCTAATGTTGTGATATGAAAACCAAAACGTTCTCCCCCTCTCGCTCAGTTTTTCAACTTGGCGAGAACTCTACATGAACACATGGACAATCTTGAAAGTACGTTGTGATTTCTATTTATTTTGGTCCTGAACCATAAAACCTTTGAATCTTGTAAGTTAATTTGTATAAAACTTTTCACCTTTTAAATGCATGGGTAAGTATAGATTATAAAACCCAGTGTTGGTTCTGGTATTAAATGTGCAAAATGGATGTAGTTTAAGATTTGTTTGCATGGCATTTATTTATTGATTCCACTAACATAGTCATATTTGGCTATTGAATGCACAGAGGGAATCACCAATAGAGTGCCGAAGTGATGACCTCACTTTGTAGGACAACTCGGAAGTTAGCGGCGCGTGGATTCCCTCGGTCGAAAAGCAATGCATTTTCCCCATAGACTTTTGGAAAATCGTAAAAAAAAAAGAAAAAAAAGATCTGTGTTCAACAAAGAGTTGTGACCCTTACACGTTTTGTCTATCAAGATAATTTTTACAAGTTAATCCAAAATGTATACATTTTGAAGCCTATTTAAAGTTTTTTTTAAAAACACATGCAGGCACAAATTAAAAAAAAACACACAATCTGGTTATAACTGTGTGTTCTATGTCATAGATCAAAACGTGAAAATATTTAGAGGCTTTGTTCACCACAGACCTTATTTCAGGCGATTTAGCAAAAAGCCATTCAAAAATCCTATAGACTTTAGAGCGAGGGACCCGGTAGTGCTAATGCTATCTCACTTACGCATTTTGGCCTTCAGAGTGACATCGTAACTTCGGCACTCTATACCTCTGTGTTTAAAAATCTTGCGTGCGTTTGATTTTCTGTCCCTTATTTTTCCCTCCATCCAATTCAGCTGTTAATGTTTCTGATTATTTATGTTTGGACTCAGGTTCATATGCAGAATCTGATGAAGATGAGGTGGAGGACAGCAGACCGTCCATTGACTTCTGTGATTTGGAGGATGAAGAGGAGGAGGTTTAATCAGGTGGTGGGGAGGAAGGAGGCGTGGCTTAGCAGTTTGCCTCTCAGTCTCCTCCCACTTTCTGTTTTCGAACCTATGTCCTCCTGTTTAAAGTGACTTTAGCAAACATCTGATTGCCAGCGTAACCACTGTCCCTAGCCTATCACAAGGCTTTCATAATATGCAGTTAATTCAAGTTTATGGGAGATGTTTGGGATCCTATTATGAATTTTATTTTTTTTTTATTTTTTGTTTCGCATCAGATTGGTGAGCACTCTAAAGCTTTCAGTTAAAAAAAAATGTCCGGTGTTCTGACCACCGTGAGTGCTTTTGGAAAAAGCTATGCTTAGAAGCTGGTTTGGGGAAAGAGAGGATCTTGGAAGATTCATGCTCTTAAACTGGTGGAGTTGAGGAACGTTCTTCTGCTCATTTATACAGTAGGGCTGCTTGAAGGATGTGATGTTTGGTTTCAATATCTTGATGATTTTAAAAAATAAATAACACCCTTAATTTCCTTTGTTTAATAACAGTTTTTCTTATTTTTCTTTTGGAGAATAGGTGAGTGACAAAATGTGGTCACATTTCTTTCAAGAGTTTCTCTTTACAAAGGACCTTTTCCACAGTCTGTTTGTATGTTGTACATTAAAATTATGTAATTTGCTTGAATTATTACAATAAATTGATGTCTCACAAAACAAAAATCTGCTCTCTTTCAGACGTCTTGGAGATAATAAACAATGATTCTGTTAAAGGGTTAGTTCACTTTGAAATTAATTTTTGGTAACACTTTACAATAAGGTTCATTAGTTAACATTAGTAAATGCATTAACTAACATGAACTAACGATGAGCAATGCATTAGTTACAGTGTTTATTAATCTATGTTAATGTTAGTTAATACAAATACAGCTGTTCATTGTGCGTTCATGTTGGTTCACAGTCTGTTAACTAATGTTAACTAATACAACCTTTGATTTGAATAACGTATTAGTAAATGTTGTAATAAAGATTAATAAATGCTGAAGAAGTATTTTTCACATTTTGTACATGTTAAATAATTAACCTTATTGTAAAGTGTTACCTAATTTTTGATATGTTTTAGCTTACCTCAAGGGCATCCAAGATGTAGGTGCCTTTGTTTCCACAGTATTTTCAATTGACATTTTTTGGTCAAAACCAGTGTTGTCTGTCAGTCATATAATGCAGGTATGGGGTCCGCCTCAAAGGTCATGCACAGAAAAGTCTAAATTAAACATGATTTAATGACTAGTGAATGTAAGTATACATTGATGGCCTAAGACACGAAACGAGTGGTTTGTGTGAGAAAACGAACAGTATTTATATAGTTTTTACCTCTTGTTAACAGCTGTCGAACTGATCTGAAGCAAAAGTCCAACTGAACCGTCCCCAACGTTGTGACGGAAGTGATCTCGTCTATGTCACGCAATGTTTACACGGAGATTTCGGGAGTTTTACCTTTTGCTAAACATATTTACATATATCGAAATCGTCTTCCATTGCGATTTCCCGTATAGCTAAATATGTTCAGTGAAAAGTAAAACTCCCGAAATCGCTGTGTAAACATTGCGTGACGTAGACGCGCGAGAGATCACTTCCGGCGCAACGTTGGAGTCGGTTCAGTTGGACTTCTAAATCAGATCAGTTCGACGGCTGTTAACAAGACGTAAAAACTATGTAGATACTGTTCGTTTTCTCACACAAACTGCTCGTTTCGTGTCTTTGGCCATCAGTGTGTACTTGCATTCACGACTCATTAAATCATGTTTAATTTGGACTTCTCTGTGCATGCTCTTTTAGGAGATCCCTATAGACTTCCATTCTATGATTGACAGACAACAACAACGGTTTGACCAAAAAAATGTCAATTGAAAATGCTGTGGAAACAAAGGCACCTACATCTTGGATGCCCTTGAGGTAAGCTAAAAAATATCAAAAATCAATTTCAAAGTGAACTATCCCTTTAACTGCTATAGAAATAATTAACTAAATAATTAACTTTGATTTGTAGTGTTTTATAGTTTTGATGAATTTTAAGGTTGTTGAAAAACGTGGAAAGTAGTATAAATACAAACATACACAAATATAGTGTACATTATACATTATAAACAAATAGCATATCATAAATATTTATACATAACTGACACATATTGTACAATATAAGTTAACATATATTTTTCATTACGTTATACAAATCAATTAAAATATATTTGAAACACGTTTACCTACGGATGAAAACAAAAATACATTGCGTAAGCTTTAACAAAGACCAAAAAAAAAAAAAAAACACTGAGCCAGCAGATGGCATCTTGTGAGCTATGACGCAACGCGCGCACCTCACCCTCGACTAGCGCACCCTCGGATATTCATCGGTCCACCCGATAAGCATGATGTGACCGTGACATACGTATCCACCCGAGGACAGAAAAACAACAACATTCTCCTTCTCCGTGTCATTGAGTGCAGTTATGTCTGAGACGCCATGTCAGATCTTTCGGGGTGTCTGCTCCTCGCCGCGCTGCTGATTTTCTGCGAGGATGGGTACGTGAGGAGAGCGGAGGGTGGAGTGCTCTCCCATGGCCTCGCCTCACTGTCGGAGCAGGACAATGCCACCGACACACACACGTCCCCGCTCGAGGGACAGGGCAACGCGACGACGGTGCCGCCATCAGGTAACGGTCACGGCATCAGCTGGTTTCATCTTCAGCATCATCCACAGCACCAGCTGCGCCATCAGATCCGCATGCGGCGTGCTTGCTAAGAATAGGGATGTTGTCATGATGGGGTACATCACAACAAAGGACATGGGTGCGCTGTTTACCGATGTGCTCCGTGTCTCGTAACATTGGCCTAACATTTAATAGTATTTGTAAGCCTCTTCTACAAGGCCACTCGAAGTAAAACCACCTATTTCAGGCTTTTTTTTTTTTTTACATATAGACATCCATGTCCACACTTTTAAGAGCTGAATAGCTAATATGGTTGAGCTACATTGCACTGCTTATCTTGAATATACTGTTGGGTTTAAGATTTAAGGCGAGATTATTTCAGTGCCAGACTCCCCCAAAACCTTTCTGTTTGACATAGTAGGCATATAATTAAATACATTAGGTGTTTACTGTCAGGGGTTTTCAAACTTTTTTAATGGCAAGACCCTCAAGTTGTGAAGGACCCTATAAAGTCAGCTATTTATTTTAAAGTTCATTTTAGAAAAATAGTAGGCTATGTGATATAAATTGTTGATGTACTAAAGCCAAAATAGATTATGAAAAATATTATTATTAATACGAAATAATTTAGGGATGCGCGATATATCGACCATCATATCAGCATCGAATAGTAGTTTATGCTGATTTGTAACAGTGTAAAATCCATAAATCAAAAATGTATTTATCATTATTAAATATCAGGGACCGAAGATAAGACTTGTGTGGTCCAAAGGCTTTTTCCTATTAAATTTTGTGTTATTAAACACATTATTGATGCTACATTGGCATATTTGACTAGCATTTGTATACCAGCTGTTATAGTTGGTATGGGTTGAACAGTCTGGTTCTACCATTATTTCATCCTGGTCATATTTTAGTATTTTTGTGCATCTAAAAGAGAGCGTTCACTCTTTTTTTCAGTATAGAGACATTTCAAGAGGTTCTTCAAGGTTTTAAAGTCTCAGCTTTTGATGTGCTCATCCGACATTTGGGACTTTGATCTATTTTTAAGTCACTCTGACTGAGCCGTGGGTCCAGTGGTCATTACTATTTCATCAGATTTTACTGTCACCAACCAACCAACCAACCATTTTTGGATGAACTGGTTTTTAATGCGTTGAGCAGTTACCCGAATGAACTTATGAATATTGACCTGTATGGTTACCTTAAACTTCTTTAAATGTGTTTAATTTTGAAATAAATATATGTCATTTTTGACTCATATTACAGGGGACTGACTCTAAATTTACCATTTAAGCGATACATTATACATTTTTTATTCATTCCCAGTTTCCCATTGAACCTGACCTTATCTCTGTCTCTAGAGTCGCTCCTGACACTGAAGATTTGGGTTAAAGATGCATCTAGCCAGAGGTTCCTGAAAGGAGCTGTGGTGGCTGTGTTCTTGAATGGATCCCAGATTCATTCCAGCCAGACTTTGGAGAATGGAGAGGTCACGGTCACTGTCCCATACAGCCTTGGCCTGACCCTCACTCTGGTGGCCAGCATGGAGGGTTATGTGCTCACCCAGCTGCCTTGGAAAACCACCAAGATGCCCAGTAAGTTGATAGCCTCTAAGATGCAGTGTTATTTACTAAATTAATTTGTGTATTTGAATGATTTGATGTAATCAGATTTATCTTATTTTTTTATACAATATTAATTAAGTGAAACATGTTAGAATTATATAAAATTCATCTTAATCCATGAATATTTTTGCGAGATATGCTCAATGAATACCTCAGACAGCAAGAAAGCAGAAAGCATTAATGTGACCTAACCCTGGCTTGTTGTATAACATCCTAAAGAAATGACATTCAAACATATGGTGAAATTCAGCTAATATCATTTAAATGTCTGAGTGTTAGTTTTTTTGTTTTTTCCCTAGTTTTTTCTGTTATTACGATGTCACTTCGCCCTCAAACACAAGGGAACATCTGGCTCTTTGAGGATACTGTGTTGATAACTCGAAAAACATCTGGTATGTCAGTTAAATCATTTCTTATTCTATTATTTGATCCTAACTGATTTGAAATTGAGACCTGTAAAAAATTGTATAATCCATAATTGAATTTAGTACCTCCATATACTGTATATACTGCATAGACCAACTATTATCAATGCACTGCAGTGATACTGACACACACTAAATTTCCACTTTCCACTCCATATTATTTATATCTTGATGTTTTGCAGATCTGTCATTTCAACCGAGTGTCCAGTTTCCCAAAAGTCTCCTCAAACTGTCTGAGAACACTACCATCTCCATGTTGTCAGCCTATCTGACAGCTCCAGCCCTGCATACAGAAAAAGACTTGAATTTCTTTACTCTAAACATCAACGGCAAAGGAGGTAAGATGAACTTTGAAAAAAAAAGGACACAATACCTATTGCATCTGGCATAATAATTTAACCCGTTGCCTTGTCACATCTCTTGAGTGAATGCTGACCCTGTACGTTTCATTGAGATGTTAAGGATCCATTAATTGAGTGGAGTATATTGTAGGGCAGTTTTAGTCAATGAATTCTACAAGCGCCATTATTGTTTTGACTCAATACTGCATTGATTAGTTAATGTTATTGATTAGGCAATATCAGGCCGCTTGGTTTCCCAAATCAAATATGATGGCACATTTTACACAACACATATTATTGATCTTCTAGTAGTCCAGTGTTTCTCAATTCCAGTCCTCAGGACGTAACTACCAGAATGTTTTTAGATGTCTCCCTAATTATTCAACTCTTAGAAGCTGGTGAGTTGAATCAGGTGTTTTAAAGGTAGAGTAGGCAATTTCTTTCATAAACATTTTGTTATTCTGGTTGAAACTCTCTTCACATCGTGATATAAAATCAGTGGTCTAAATATAAAAAAAAAAATGTACATATATCTTCTGTGGAAGTCTCAGGAACAAAAAAATGTTCAATTACTGCATTCAGTCCGAATGCGGTGAAACGACATCCTACCTGTCTGTCAGTGTATGTATTTCCATACCGGACGTGATGACATCAACGCATCATCAGCACATTCCGTATTGTGGACAATCATTCACCAAGCATTTTTTACAGTTCCTCCTGAACCAAAACAACAAGCTTATGCTACGTTCACGCCATGTTATAATAATCATTTGGAGATTGCAACCTGTGACGTTCACGTCCTCGCAATTTATGCATTTCTGTGTCAACACTATCAATGGCGAAAGTCAGGTGGTACAAGTAAGAGCTGTTGTTTACATTCATTGTTATGGTCATTTAATGTGCTTTGAGACATGGGGTAATTTAACGCCGTCTCTTATAACGCTTTGCTGAATCTCCTGTGGCTGTACACATTCATGTGTTTTGGAGGAGGATTTGGAGAGTGCTCTGAAGGGAGGGTGGGATCTCATGCTTTCAAAGCTAGCTTTCTATTGCTAGCCGCTCAAATTCTACCCTACCTTTTAAGTAGTGAGACATCTACAACATTCTGGTAGGTGTGATGGCTCTGATAAAGCTCAGTAACTTTTCTTTCATAATGGGGACCGGTCTTATTCACTGGCTGCAAGAGGCATGCCGCCATGATGCATCAGACTCTCAAGCTAACTACTGGATGGCTGATGTACAATCTGTACAAGAACATTGGATCAATGAGATTAGAATGTCTATGAAGTGGCAAAGCTTTGGGAAAAACATTGAAAACCCTTGGACTTGAGGAATGGAGTTGAGAAACATTGCTCTAGAGTAGACCACACACCCTTTTTCCAATTTTCCAATTTATTTTCTGCAGATTCTAAGATTAATCAGTTATCTTTGTATTACCAATTACAGGTTATAGGAATGTCAAGTTAAGCCCCTTGGCTATGATCAGTGCCCAGTTAGTGTCTAATGGAAAGGAGGTTGATGTCAAAGGACCCATTCGGCTAACAGTACCACTTCCCTACCACACCCACCTACGACCCTCCGACTCACTTCCTGCGTGGACCTTTGACATGACAATAGGTGATTAAAAAACTTCAATTGTGCTAATTTAAAAGAGGTTTCAGATCTTACATAATTGTTTTCTTTAAGTGGGGACTATTGTCCTGTAATGGTCACAAGGGTTGGAGGAGAGGATTGTGGCCAAAAGCACTAAATGGCATGTGTTATCACAGGTACCTGGGTAAATAAAGGTATAGGCACTGTTCAGATGGAGAAAAACGGCCTAGTCTGGACTTATGTAGCACCTCAACTTGGTAACTGGATTGCTGCACCACCACCATCATCAGGTATCAGTCAAAATATAATAAAATCTCACTCATCAGCCCATATTGTTGATAACACTTAAACCAAAATCTTCCGGACTTCTGTTAATATTCTGCCCTCTAAACAGATTATGTTGTGTAAATCTAGGTTTTATGGGGCTTGCAAGCTCAATGGATTTCATTTCCTACCACACATACCTTCTTTTGGGTATCTTGGGAGGAACTCTTTTGATAGTCATCGGATTTTTATCTGTGATTGTATTTCACTGCAGGTAAGAGTTTATAGAGTCATGCAAGGACTTATTTCATCTTAACCTGTTAATGTCAGTGAAATGAAGGCATTTTACAACTCATTATTATTAAAGGGCAACTATCAAAATATGTATCTCATTTTACAGAGATTTAAACCATGAGGTCGGAAGAAAGCGATGGAATTCCACCAGGCTCACCGTACTGAAAAAAGACCAGACCACTTCCACTAGCTCTGACGAGGTTCAAGAAATTTTCTTTCATAATGGGGACCGGTCTTATTCACTGGCTGCAAGAGGCATCGGCCACGATGCATCAGACTCTCCGCGACACCAAGCCAACTACAACATTTATGTGGAAAACGTTGGAAGGCCGGTAGGCAATCTGTATGAAAACATTGGAGCTGTGGGATTAGACAGCCTCAGAGCCCCAATGTCTAATCTCTACATTAATAGTGATGAAGTGGCTAAGCTTCGGGAAAAATTGGAACAGAATGGCTCGCGCCAGGGTGGTGCAGAGAATTTAGTTTTCAAAGACAAGCTGTTCCACATCTACAACCAGCCTCTGGCTATTGTACAGGCCCCAGAGCTGTTTAATTCCCAGGGCCAAGCTGACCCTTCTGGAAGCAGATCTGCCACTTTCCCGCGGAACGGTATGGAACATGGAGGTCAGACAGAGCGGAACTTAAAAGACAGTTTCACTCAGACGTTGCCTAAAGTTCCCCAGCAAGACGGCGACGAGCAGCAGGCTCTGGAAGGAGTTCAGGGCGCCGCCGCTAACCCCGGGCTATGGGGCCGCTACAGTCATCTCCTGGAATCCGTATCTGTCCCAGGAACTTTGAACGAAGCGGCTAGAATGGGGCCTTTTCGGGGGGAACTTCAGGGTATATCAGAGCAAACCTTGCTTGAGCTCACCAAGGGAAAGCCGTCCATTCACCCGCCCCGGGCTTGGTTTGTGTCTCTTGACGGTAAACCAGCAGCCCAGGTTCGTCACTCTGTGATCGAGCTTCAGGGAAGACATCGACCGGGTAGCAGCAATGACACAAGCTTGGACTCTGGAGTGGACATGAACGAGCTGCTGCAGCAGCCTCTGCGGAAAAGCGAGGAACCCTCAAGCGCTAGCTTGGCTAAAATAAGTAGAAATCAAGAGCAGGACTTGAGCAGCAGTGAAATTGGGAGTCCTGAGGACACATCCCTGAGGAACACCTTGGAAGGCAGTAGTGCAGCCATTCCCAACATCCCAGAGGACAGGGATGCGGGGGACACTTCCAGTGAGTCCAAATCTACCCCCCCACCACGGAGACTGCGGAAGGTTCGAGACAAGAAGCCTGACAAGAAGACATCTCGACATGTGAGGGAGGAGAGACCGCACACGAAACACTAACTGAATAACCTGTGTGTAGATGTAGCTTTTTGGTGTCTGAAAATGGTTTTGATCAAACTGCCTTATAATATAAACATCAGGAAGAATGAACAAAAACAAAAAAAACGCCTGTCTTACCTGCCGTAGCTCAAAGTCGATTCCTGTGGCTATGCTGTATCCAGCAGTTCATTTGTACACAATTTCGCAACCACACTACAATGTTTTTACTAACTTCTTTGAAATAACATATTTGTTTACCTTCAAAAGTACACTGTAAAAGTATGTATATATATATCTATATATAAGTATTTTTAAACATTAATGTTTAAATGCTTGAACCCACAATGCTCTTATAGTGAGTCTGCAAAACTGAATTAAATGAAATCAGTTTGGCTTGCTTGGAATACATTTTTGTTCTTCGATTCAGTTCAATGTAATGCAAGGAACTGCCACACAGTGTCATAAACAATTCTGAAATAAAATGTGGAAAAACTGAGCACTGTTATTATCATAAGCTATTAAAACTAAGCACTATATATTCTACAATTCAGAACGTGCACCAGTGTGTTGCTAAGAGCTTTTTTTGAGGGAGCGACAGGCCTTTAAGGTAATTTGCCGTTTTGACGCGCTGTACTTATTTATTGTATTCTTGCTAGTCACATTTGCATGCTGTCCATTGTGATGCTTTTACCATTCAATGTTTTAATGTGTAAGAATGTAGTACCCAAAAACATCGAATATATGTCTCGGGTTATGGCTTACCTTACCAAGTCCTATGCCGAAGCAGGTCATGAACCTAGCATATTAAGATGTTTCTTGTGCTAATGTGTTTTATGTATGAAATATTTCTTCACAAATTGACAACATGATTATCAACTCATGTATTGAATGTGTTGGAGCTTTTGTAGCTTTATCATTTTAGACAATTGTAACTGTTTGATTCTCATCAACAGTTACAATAAGACACTAGCTTGTTGTCAGGCAGCAAATTTGAACCGAGAAGGGATATTGAAGTATGACCGAGGAGAGAAAATTGCATTGTGTCAGCTGAATGTTTTTAAAGTAATTTATGTTGTATTGTAGCAATTATTATTTCAATAATTGTGATATGTTTTAACAATTTCTCAACACACTGGTTTAAATGGCTCAAGAGCCATTTCTGGATGCTTTTCAGTACAACTTGTAATCTGCATTTTTTTGTGCACATTTAATAAAGGTACTTCACCAAAAATATTCATGAGTTTTATGTATCAAGAACTGATAAGAATAATAGCTTTTTTTAACAATATAAAGTAACATTTAAATAATAAATATGAGGCAATAATAAAATGATTGTCTCCTATACAACTGTAAAAATGGCTAATTTTTCAAGTTGCATGTAAAATGTTTTCGGCAGAGGTCGAGGATTTAATTTAATTCAGTGACTGTACAACTAAACAAGAAATCAAAAACATACTTAATCAGAACATTCTTGTTTTTATTAAACATGAAGTTTAAGGCACTCATGTGGACTATAATAGAAAGCCCATACTAAAAGCAGACATCTGAGGCTCCCTCTGAATTCTTCTCCGTTTTTAGCCATAGTTTAATAAAAGCTTTTTAATTTTACACATGTGAACTACCCAGTAGAGCTATTCCTAACACCCATGGAGCAACATGCTACCATTATTTTTTAATTGCATACCAATTCACTTTACTCATATTTTCTCATAAGTATAGCTTTGACATGACTATTTGTCATCTAAAGATGAAGATCCTTTACATCCAGCCTGTGTGGCCTAGGTCTTTGTCTTAAGGGATCTTTCCTCAGTGGTCTGATCCTGCCGTAAGCTGGTGTCATGATAAATGCCCCATTAATGCCCACAATGAGTCTTTGCTGGTCATTCTGTGTTCTGGGCAATACCGACTGGACATTCAAAGTTAGACTGACATTTGAGGGACTATTTGGAAAGGATGCTCTCCTCTCAGCCGGTGCAGCTATGGTTCCTGATAAGCTCCTATGATGAGAACTCTTTTCTTTTGTATGATTGTGTTTCACGGTGGGCGTTCTATATGGTTCTATGTGGGAACTATTGATGCAGAGGCCCCGAAAGCCCTGAGTGAGTGAATTCACTGAGGAAGGACTGCACATAGATGGTTCAGATGTCACCGTTCTCAACAGAGGTGGAGCACTACGTTTCTTTACCTGCAAGCCAATACCTGGTAGAAAGAACTCCGAGAGCTGTTCATCGGTACGCTTGCTATGAACATCACTAGATGGAGCCAGAGATCTTTCTGTTCTGCTACTTCGAGGATTCCACGTTAGGGGATTGTAGATGACATGCCAGTCCAGTGGGCAGCAGTTAGACTTTCGGATCACTGGATCAATACAGTCAGCATGGAACTGGTTTAGGTTCAGGAAAGAGAGAAAATTAGATTAATAATTCTAATTAGATAATAATTCTCTTGCACTATGTAAAATGATTTAGCTAATAGTGTGTCTTATTTATAAGAAAGTCATGCAAGTTTGGAAAGTAATTTTGTAGAAAAAAAATCAAAGACATTAAAACGCGTTCCTAATGGCCAGCTTTATCAGCATTCAACACACCATAAATGAGCTGAACTTGAAAATGTGTTACCTTGTGTTTGCAGGGAAGGGTTCTGACATGCTGACCCAGTTGAAATCTCGAGAGGCAGATTCTACATTGAGCTCCTGGATACAGAAATCTGGACTCTTTCCGAACCCTTATCGTCGGCAAACTTTTTATTACATAGTTCGGGACTATATCACATGTCACACCAGACATGCTGCTGGAGCTGTAAAGTAAAATAGAATAATGTGTTTGGATAAATTCATATATATATATATATATATATATATAAAATAGAAATGGGCAGACGAACCTACTACCCATTAAATGGTTTTCAATTTTCTGTGTTTCTTCAGAGTCATGAGGTCCTGCTGTCTGCCATGGCTGACATCTTTTCTGCACAATTACAATGAAAAATGGATTACTATTTTGCGATATACTGATTCACGACCTAGGGAGTTAGAGTGCTGATTGAGACACACCTGTCTATGTTCTAATTGATGCTACAAATAACTACTTTCTCCAGTTTTGGATGGCATTGTCATGTGAAACACAAACCTTGTAAATAAAACTCACCATTCGAACTATGAAGTTATGTTTTGGAGGATGGTCTCTTTCCTTAAAGCAATCCTCACAGAGGTGGAAATAACTGCACTCTGTGCACCTGTGAACGAACAACAGACGTAAGACGCTGATGTTTTAAAAAAGTTAAAAAAAAAAAAAATACATAGAAAAGTAACATGATAAATACTAACACTTTTATTCACCAGGGATGCATTAAATGGATCAAAAGTGAGAGTAACGACTTTCACATTGAAGCTGAAATCTGTTCTTTTGAAGAACTTTCTATTTATCAAATTATCCTGCAAAAATCCTGACGTAGTTACACGTTACTATTATACTTGCTATTATAATAACAGTAAATTATTCATAATTACAGGTAACTAATCCAAAACCAAACCCTAGACTAAAGTAACTATAGTAACTGCATGTAGTTAAATAATATTACTCAGTACTTATTTGACTAAGTACAATGTAACTATATCACCTTAAAATAAAGAGTAACCCAAGAATATAATTGTCATGATGTGGTTTTGTATTTTTGTCTTTGTGTTATTAGTGGTTCCCTGTCTATTGAGTTTTCCAGGTGTTTCCTATGTTCCACGCCCCCTTGTTACCTTGTTAAGTTTGCTTGTCTGATTATTTAAGCCCTGTGTTTCTGCCTTAGTTTGTGAGTTGTTGTACGTGTGTTGTCGGCGTTAATCGCTCGTGCTTTTGAGTCATGTATCTGAGTCTTTGTCTACGTATGTAGTTTGTCTAAATAAAGCCTGTAAACTGCGTTTGGATCCAGCCGCCTTCCCGTGTTTCTGCCACACCATGGTACCGGCATCACAGTAATCATATAACACAAGTAAATAAATAAATAACATAATAATAATATAAAATTACAATGTTACTTGAGCAACGTACAATGATTTCTGAAGGATCATGTGACACTGAAGACTGGAGTAATGGCTGATAAAAATTCAGATTTGCCATCGCAGAAATTAATTAAATTTTGCACAGTCAATTTAAATGGTAATAATATTTAACATCAATACAGTTTTTATTATATTTTTGATCATTCCATTCCTACCAACCTCAGACTTCTGAATAGTATTGTATGTCTGCACTGATTTGTCATTGCTATGTAATGGTTGCCTACTTGAAACATTTGCCGATGATTGGACAGGCCCTGCAAATGTTGCACATAACACCCAGATGTTTGTCCAGACAGTCCCTCTCATAGTAGGTTAACAGTTCACCTGCATTTTTCACCTGTCAAAAATAATAGTTAAACCCAAGATGATTTAAGCTTAAACAATAGATAGTAATGAATTATCGAAGTGACTGGGTCTTGTAATGATGTACCTGTTCGATTAGCTGCTTAAAAGTGCCGAAGTCTTCTCTACAGAGTGGACACTTAAGCAGGGCACATGGGTCTCTCTTTGATTGGTGATCAGCCCATACCTTCATACAGGAAATGTGGATGTTGTTTCCACAGCTGAACCTTTACAATGACGTATAATAACAACCCAAACAGTAATTACAACCTTCAGTCAGTAAGGCTCACTAATGGCTTTTGTGGTTTACATGGAAAAATGTGATGCATTTGGCTTTAAAGATGGACACAATACAATATTTATTAAAAAAAAATGTTAAAAAATTCATTGATTTCAAAAACTTCACCAATAAAACATATTCACTTCATAGTTAATACAGTATTTACCATGAAATTCAGACCACTTCATTTCCTGAATAATCTTGATTTCTAGATTAAATAAAAACCTCTTACTTGCAATAGGTCACAGGCAATTTTTTCAGCAAAAGTTCTTCTTGACAGATTGGACATATATCATCTTCCTCTACATCTTTCTGTCTGATTCCTCCATCTTCCTCACTAGGCTCAGGACATGAAAGGCCTGCTGAGTTCTCCCTTTCATTAGGGGATGTAGATTTGGTCACATGAAGCCCTTGCAACAACTCTAGAATGTGTCTCTCCGCAAGACCGTACTGAAAACAGTCTGAAACAGAACAAGTGATGTACAATGTTATGTACAACTGTTTGGAGGATCTTACTGGAAAGGGTTGCATTGAGTGAAAACACTTTGGGGGAAAAAATGGTATACTTACATTCGTGATCTTCTGGTAGTCGGAATTTACGCAGTAAAATCCTAAAATAAAATGTTGATGTAAGGTAAGATTATGTCTCAACATGCAGTGTATGTGTTTCTTCAAAAATGACCACATTCCGTCTAAGGGTTTGACTTTTATTAAAACTAATTTCATTTCATATGAAGGTCACAGGCTATATGCACGCATAAATTCCGCATTTGACGCAAGGATGCTCGTCCATTTCCGGTTGTGGAGATTAAAGCGGAGGAAAACCGAGGAAAACGGGATTATGGCAGAGTCTTCAAAATGTACTGTCCTCCAGTCTTTGAAATGAAACGTACGTTTAGATGTAATTTTTTATATAGTAATATTTATTTAATATAATTTTAAAAAGAAGCATAAACACAACGAGGGGTCTGTTTTATCTGTTTTTGTGACTAACGTTTCTTTAGTATAACCATGGAGTATAAAATTCAATATAAATTCTCGGTATTGCATTGGACCGGAAATACCGCCGTGCATAGAGCCCATTGATTTCTGCTACTTTTTAAACGCATTTCATGTACAGATTTAGTCATATTATTTTAAAGTTTTAACAAAACTTATTTACCAAGGAGTCGACATGATGGATATAAAATATGAGACATGTGATGTGTGATGAAATATGACAGACACTATGTGTCTGAATATTTGTAATTGTAGAATATTTTTTATTCCTGTAGAATATTTTTCTAATCAAGCTGTCAAATATGCATAACGTGTGAAAATATTAGTAATTGTGTGTCCTTAACTGTTCGCTTTACCCAAACGAAGTTGTTTAAAATGTCATTTCTAGCTCAATGCAAACCATCATTTCAGTTGTGTCACTGTAGTGGAAATGTTTACTTTTCAACCCCAAGCAATTATTTACCAGCAGATGTGTGTGCAAAGATCCCTCTCTTTCTGGAAGGTAGGGCAGGTACACGTGTGTGGATCTCCCAAGCACACCTTAGACATGAAATAACAT